GCTTACATGTCCTCGGAAATGTTTATATATTATACACACAGTCGGAGGTTCTTATTCATTATTCTTCTTCTTCTTCTTCTTCTTCTGCTTCTTCTGCTTCTTCTACGTGTCAACATTAAGATGACGATGGTTTTGATGTTGACTATGACTAGCGCCCTTTCTCGTGCAGAAGAGTATACCAGCAGTAGCTGCTGCAGCTGCTGTTGCCGTTGCCGTTGCGTTTGCCGTCGTTGTTGCCGCTGCGGTTGTTGGTTTTTGACAGTTCGTGTCGAAGCATCTCTCAGGTGGTGGCCTACACTACGCTGCTGAAAGGTCTGTGTGAAGCAGGTCAGATCAAGGAAGCTCAGCAGGCGTCCACTCAATCGTTCGAAGGCTTGAAGCCTTCGTGACTTCATGAAGCCTGTAGCATCGTGCAGTCTGACCAGGCGCTTGACGACATGCTGAGCTCTGGATGCCAACCCAACATCCGAACAGCCAACACGCTGCCTGGTGTCTTTTCGCCTTAATTATAGAAATGCAGTGCTCATGGAGCTGTCCGCTGGGAAAGTTTCGAAGTGGGAACGGACGGAGGGACCGCAGGCAGCCATGCACTCACTCGGTTTTTCTGTGGAATCCATGACATCTGAGGCTACTTCGAGGCCGAAGGGCGAAGGGGGGGGTGTGTGTGGGGTGTGTGGCGTGTTTGTTATGTTCTCCGCGCCTGAAGCTCCGCATCTCTTTGCAGTGCTGACTAGTTTTGGCCGAAGGCTTCCGACGGGCTGGGGAGGTCGATGCTTCGCTTGAACTACTGAGGTCGCGCCTGCTGAGTTTAGTTCTGGTGTATTTGAGTCTGAGTTTCGTTCAGTTTTTTCGGCAGAGGCGAATGGAAGATGAGTGGGGCGTCCCTCCTGATGAGCTGCCGGCATTTTTGGGTCGCATCTAGAATCTAGACTCGGCATCGGCAGACTGCATTCGCAGCAGTGTGGTCAGGATGATGCCAACACCTATTCTAGGTGCTGCAGGTCGTATCTGATCCGAAAGCTCCGCCAGGCGACAAGCTGCGAGTATGCAGTGGCACTGCTTTGCCAAGGCCTTCGCGTGCAAGCAGCGCGTGCCCTGCTCAAGAGGCGAACTCGCAAGTTCACGCTCCCACTGTTTTTGATATAGGTTCTAAGCCCGGAGAAGCAGAGGGGTTGATGTGGGCTCCGGTTCTCCAGAGTTGAATGGAGCTGTCAGCTGCTCTGTGAGGAGCTTGGCCAAGGCCGCGGGAGCAGAAGGTTCTGCTGAAGGCGCTGAAGGCTCCGACCTCACCTGTCGGAATTCTGCTCTGCATAGGCAGTAAACAGGCTGCGACAACCCGGGAAGCCACAGCAGTCTCAGGTTCTGACGCCTTCGTGACTTGGGAAGGCGTGGCCTCCACCGTTTCCATGCGGCTGTATGAAGTGACCGTGCCTCCTATTTCTATTGCCTTTTCAAAGGTGGAAAGGCCGCAGCATTCCGCAACCGTGCCAGTTGCTGCCTCTGCCGCGATCAGTCCGTCAAGATAACCTTGTGGTTGCGCCACCACCACTAGATGCTTGGGAAGGGGAGTTGAGGGGTAGAGAAGAGACAGAATCTAGGCACCGAAACCTCAGCAGATTGTGATTGGATTCTTGTCCCAGGTTTGTGGACAATGGTGGCTGAAGCTTCCTTGCTGTGCAATGAGCCACGGGTTCGAGTGACCGCCTCGGGTCCAGGAGTTCGTCGCAGAGTCGAGGAATTTGCAAGGCCTCCCAAGCTCCACCTTATCATGAGTTTTCAAGGCTCGGCGAGCTTTGAAAAGGGCGAGACTGTTGCGTCGGAAGGTCGGCAGCAGCGTTTCCATGCCGCAGTGTAGCACTTTCACGTGCGGTTTAGCAGACCTTTGCCCAGGCTGCGAAGTGGCAGAAGCAGGACACCGATGTCAAGTAGTCGAGCCGGTGCACATCCTCCAATACTCATACTGACACCAGCATGTCTGCCCCGTTGCTGCAGGAGCGACAGACGCGCGAGGCTGGACCAGGACTCTGCAGTAGAATCCAGTAGGTGTGGTCGCTTCTGGGAGACTGCCGGATGAGCTGTTAACAAACGCTTCCTCCAGGAGCTTCCTCGGCCGGTCTTTTCGCAGAATTCAAGGAGCTCAAGCCTTGGCTCTGCTCTGTTGCCTTTCACAGCGAGCGGCATGCGGTTAAGGCGTGAGCTCGCGCGGAGAGCTGCTCTCATAGAGGACCACCTGAAAAGCAACTTCCTGAGTGGAACGATGTGAAAAGCAAGCAAGGCGCTTCAACTAGTTACAGACTCGAGCTGCCAGTCGCATGTCATCAGGCCACAACACGTTGGAAGCCCCAGTGTCGGGGGCCTACATGAGCTTTGACCACAGGATGATTGCACTCGTAGACTCTCCTTGCCGTACATGCTGCGAGAAGTGTGAGATGCGTTCCCAGCATGACTGACCATGACATTGGAGCAGGAGGCAGATGACCAGACTCCTCGCGCTTCCCCAAGACATTCCTGACTTGGGCTCAGTCTTTTGAAATCGCGATAGACGGCCCGGCCATTTCACCAGCGCCCGCGGTTTCTTTGACCCTTTGCTCGAAGCGTGTGCTACTATATGCCGACTTGACACATGCAGCTCACCTTTCATTGCACCCCAACACGAAGAAGGCCTCAGCTGCCCTAGCTCTCATCTGCTTCTGGCATACTGCACATGGCGGCCCTTGTTTCCGTCGATTGATACGCGCACGTCGGAACTAGGTCCAACTAGGTCACTAGGTTTATGCCATTTATGTTTGACTAGAGCTTCTGCATGGCGGAATACCGCGGGGTGTGGTCACACCTTGCAAAAGACCAGCTCCCGGTTGACGAGAATCTGGCTACCTGGACCTCGGAAGAAAGGTCCCAGTACCTGCTTACAAACGGCGTCGTGACAGAGGCCCAGGACTGCGATACTGCACCGGGGTCCAGATAAAACTAGCATCACAGAGTGTTGCAATTCTTTCGCGAAGTTGTGTGTTCTGCTTGAGGAGTGACTAGTGTTTGTTGGATGTTTCGGGGGCCTGATCTCGAACGATTTTGGCATGCAGAAGGTGCCATCTCGACATTAGAGGTTGTGCAGATTTGGAAGACCTAAGAGTGCGCGATGCACATGACGTGCATACCACAGGTTTCAGAGATGCGAGCTAGCAGTAGGGTTAACGAGTCAGCGTTGAAGATCCGAAGATTCTGTTCAATCACCAAACCATCCGAAGACGAAACCATGACCTGGAAAAACCAGGAAGCAAAGTGTAACCAGCCCCGCCCGCACCCCTAAACATGCGTCCGACCGCATGAGCCCCTCATGTTCTATTAAGTTCTCAGGACCCGAGCGCGTTGCTTGATCCAGCCCCTCGCAGGACCCCTTCCTGACGACCTTTCTCTGTGACGTCTTGTCCAGCAGCGTCCTGCCAGCTCCGTGGTCCTTATGCCGGGACGAGCAAAGTGGCCTCTTCTTCTGGAATCAGACCTCCAACGAGACTGCCTGGGTCCGGCTCGCAGACTTGTTTTCTGCAGGTTCGAGTATAGTCGGAAAATGTGGCAAGCCTTAGAGTCTGCCACCTTGTGAGGTGCACCCTCTCGATGCGATTCTTCGCGAATGCATGGCGGCTTTCCAAACCTGCATTCAGCTGCCGCCGAATCTGAGAGACCAAACTCTGAATACATTGCAGGACCATCTGTGTTGGGCAGGAGTATGTGTATCTTCAGGCAGCACACCACATCACTTGTAGCACCGATTCAGTTCTTGCTGGAGTCGTCGATGCTGGGTAGAGTCTGGCAAAGCCTGTTCTTGCCGAGCAGGAGTCTTGGGAAGCTGATATCACAAAGCTACTCTTCGAATGGCAGCAAGCAGAAGACGATAGCGGCCAAGTCTACTATCACAACGCGGAAAGGCAGCTGTCGATGTGGGAACACCCTTCATTGGTCTTCTTGCCAAGACAGTACATGTTGCCTGGCAATTACGGAAAGGGTTCGGGATTCTAATGCACGGCCATTTCACTGCAGCAAAGTTTTCGAGTTTCCTACTGGTAACAGGATCCGGAGGCTAACGTTTTGCAAACCAGTATCTGGCCATCCAAAGATCGAACCATCTTCACCACCCTACCAAAACCATTCGTCCCTACTGTAGCACGCAGTGCTGTCAGCTTGTTGCCTTAAGTGCCCTGCTGATACTACTACTCCGACTATCTGCGACTGAGCGCATACGATCCGACAGCGGTCAAACCACAAAGCGCAGCATGCAGCGTCACACAGTCTGCAACTTAGGAACTTGTGTATTTTGTGTGAGCTTTCTGCAAAAGCACGTTGTGTCCTTGTCGCAGGAGGGAGCAGGCCTTGAACAGGCTGCGAGATCTGGCGTACTTGGAGCGCATTGGTGCGCTGGCCAGTCGTGGAGGAAGTAGAGAAATCTACCAAGCTTTGAAGCTCTCCAAGATGAAGATCGCAGAACACATGTCAGTTCTTTCACCGAAGTCGAAAGACCTTTCCTTAGGGCGGTCTGCGACCACGGACACGGTGCAGAGCTCCCTATCGGATACGCAAGCCAGCAAGGAGCGAGCTCCGAGCATGGCCTTGCAACCAGAGAGCCCAAGCAATCCGGAGTCAGCGCCGTCAGCGAAGATCCCACATACACCAGCGACACCTTCAGAGACTGTGGCACAGGATGACAAGGCTTCAACCGCCCCAGCGCGTCTGATTCAACGAGGCATCGAGCTCGAGAGGAACAATGCCGCTGCGAAGTCTGTCTTGCGGCTTGCTGGGGACCTGTTGCAGGCCAATGGGAATGGCCAACCGATTCGCCACAGTCAGCGCTCCGCTTTTCTGCGCAAGCCCAACCAGCAGAGGCTCGCAAAATCCGTCTCGGATGGCCACATTAAGTTTAACTGGGCAAAATCTTCCATGGACTTGCAAGCGTCTTTGAGCCTCGAAGAGAAAGCCTGGTGGTGGCCGTGCGCGCCGAAGGGTGTCACCAGCCCGGTGAAAGTCTCACAGAATAGCTCCCGTGTTCTCACCAGGTAGCAGAGCCAGGTAGCCAGCAGCATGTGTTTCACTCAGTTCACTCCATGAACACTCCATGTGTCCGACTTCTGACACTCTAACAACAGCTCTCAGGCGAATTCCAAGATTGCAATGGTGGTGCACTCGCGGATGCGTGGCATAGTTTTCCGACGCCCCCAAATGAGCAGGTTTGGTGCCTGGTTCAGATGGCAGCTAAGCTCGCTGCAACGTTTCGCAGAACCCGGCAGCCGAAGGCACGCCACAGCCTGGTCAAACTCGGCGCTCCCTCACGAACAGAAATTTGGAACTGCATGGGGGCACTTGGGGCTTGGGGGGGTCTTCGTGGTGGAGTCCGAGTCTGTCCGAGGACGAGGCCGGCGCTGTCAGCGCTGTCAGCCTCCAGCTAAGAGTCTCTGCGCACTCGGCTCTGCACATGGGGTCACGTCGCGCATCGTCCCACTTTTGGTTCATGGCAAAGGTGGCCAGGCGCTGCTCCTGGAGCTCCAACGCTCCTTTGGGCTGCCGCCAGCTAAGGGCTGGGCGGGACATTTTGGGACCTCTGGCTGCAGCGGCACTTGTGTCACACTGAAGCTGAGGCGTGGCGACCAGCCGAAAGCCTTTGTCTTACTTATCAAGCCATGCATTTTCGCTTTTTTTGGTGGGGTGGCATGATCTTGCGAGGCAGAGGCGAAACTATTGCAGCGATTGAATGCCATAGCTGATGGGGAAGGACGGAATTCCGTGACCACAACACGCCTGATGCCGAGTGTCCGAACTCTGAAATTTCCGAGCAGGGCAACTCCACCTGGATGCAGTGTTTCGTGACGTGCTGCCTCTGAAGGCACAGCCAAGACAACAATGTCTAGATGTATAATGGGGCCCGTCGTCAGACTGCAGTACTCGTAGGGAGGAGTTTTAAACCACGCAAGCTGTCCGAGCTACGGCGCAACTTCTATGCTGAACGCTGCTTGAATGCCTGCACCAGCAGGTGGAGCTTTGTTCTGGAGAGGTGGCCTTTTGCAATGCGAAAGCGGGTGTCAGATCATTGCACTGGCGGGTCCGTCGACAGGGCGAATGGGTGTGTGCTCAAGCAGCTGCTGACGCTGGGAAAGCCAGCTGGGCCTGCGTGGAAAACAGGCCATGCCCCACGTCCTGGGACTTGACTACAGTGACTAGACCTTGAAGATGGTCGAGCTGACAATGCCAGGCGAGATCGCGTCTTCCGCACGTTCTCCCGCGCACTTCTCACTGGAGCGTGAAGCTCGGCGTTTGCTTGCACGGTGTGGTGGAAAGTCATTGCGCTATATTGCGCTCAACGAGCATGCACAGGTGTGCAAGAATCTCTGTGTGGTTGCTGCTGACGCGGCTGTCTTTCTGCGCATGTCACTGACTTTCTTGCTCTCCAAGATATGTCAATCTGTAAAAGCTGCAGCCTCTTCCCTTGAGGCTTGCACCTGGCTCCGTGGCTTACATGTATGCACCTTGCTTGCAGGCAGTTGCAAGTTAGTTTTAGGCTGCTGTAACTCCCAAGCTTCACCCCGAAACCCGACTTCGGTTTACCCTTGACTTCGGCTCATAATATTGAAATTTGATTGGGCACATCCTTTGCGCTGAAGCACCCCCACACCTCGGAAGAAAGCACCGTAAAGCCCCAATAGAAATGAGTATAAAGGCGCGGTCTGCAGAAACAAACAATACAAGAAGACTCGCGAGAGGCCCTCCAACGAAAGGATAGTAGAAACAAGGGAGAGGAGCAATCGCAATGCCTACCTAATCAGCTTCCAGTGCTATAGGATAGGCGACCCCCGTAAGATTACAGCAGCTTATCTTGTTTGATAGACAACTGGGGAGGTAGTTTTTGACATCAGTCGGAATATTCCAAACACGAAGGAGGTTAACACGACATGGATCAAGGTCATGATCTCGAATGATACGTTTTGGCAGCTTCGGACAATGCCCGACCTCCCCATCCAACTTCGCCCAACTGGTGCAAAACTCGATGGAATTAAGGTTGAACTCGCAGAATTAGTCATGAGCCTTCGGATAAGCCTGCACATATCTATTTGTCAGAGGCGTGTCTTTGACAGGTGATGCCTAGGGTCGGATCTTAAAGAGGCTGTGGCGAAACCCTAGCGTCTGCAAAACGATTGTCGGAGAACCGCCCTCGCAGATTGGCATAGGGACAGTCTTATGGATGACTGCAGGATGAACAGGCTGAGGCTGGATAAGATTATGGGTACTACAGGAAGAGAGGTATTTTTGGCGAAGGGGCCGGTATCACTGATAAGCTTTGCAGCTGTTCGGCATTCGGCAGGTCAGGAAGCCCTAAACCCTATGGCGCCATAAATTGCCACGCAGGTCAACTTCCCGGAGCCACCTGTTCGCCGCGGCTTGGGTGATGGCGAGATAGAAGGCGTTCAGTGTTGCTAGGGTTGCTAGAAGAGAGGGTTAAGGATTCTTGTAATTTCGTCAGGATCTGGTGCAGCGGCGCTTGGGGTAGACGCGGCCGCCCCCCATCTTCTCACTGCTGCCACCCGAGATCCGCCCTAATCGCTCGCTCTCTCTCCCTCTCTCTCCCTCCCTCTCTCTCTCTCTCTCTCTCTCTCTCTCTCTCGCGCTCTGCATCGTTGGGAGCTGCACATTTGATCTGCTGGCTTCGAGTAGAGTGGTTTTGCCAGAGCTGAGCGCTGCTTCACCGAGGCTGAGACTTTTCGCTCAGTGCGTCGAGTGCTGTCCTCTGACGGCGTGCTTCTGATTCATTCAGACAACGCGGGGGTCCTGGCTACCTTTGAGCTTCTGCAGATGCTTCAGCAAATCAAGAGGTGACTTACTTGCGGCAGCTTGCAGCATCCCTGGGTGCTGTTGGCGGCTTTGCGAACGCTGCGGCCTTGGCGATTGACCGTCGACGGGTGCTGCCGGTTTCCTGGACACCCTTTCAGGCGAGTGACCCCGGCCCTGGTATTGTCCGAGATGGTCTCGAGCTGAGCGCCGAGCCGCACCTATCGACATCAGAGCAGCCCTCCAAGGCACCAGCGGCTCGAGTCCGAATGGAATAGCTGCACCTGGCTCAGGGCCGCTCAGGGCACAGCCCTGCATCGGTGCTGAATCCAGGTCTGGCGAGGGCGGCCGGGAATTGAGGCTGGCGTGCCAGATCCAGAGGCGAGATTCGGCTTGCGGAGCCTGTGGTCAGAACCATGATTGGTTCCTGCTCCCAGGCATCGTCATACTTTGACCGTCTGTGGAGTCACGGCCGCTTTACTCGACGATATTTCATTCTCGTGCGACGAGAGGAAAACATGGTCAGTGCGAGCATGCCATGGACAAGCTTCAGTTCGTTCCTGCAGAGCAACTTCGCAAAACATGGCTGCAGTTCGACGGTCAGAGGTCATTTGTTTGAGATTCAAGACGATTCATGGTGCTTCTTGCCACGATAAAACCACGATTGTGTCACATAGACTTACCCTACTTCAACTAGTTTCAGCAGAAGTGGTTGCTGTCCAACGCCATGAGCCACCGTGACCCTCATGTGCCGTCTGCAGTTGGTGAGGCCGTGTACACTATCATGTGATTCCTGATTGCACCACGAAATCATGTCTTCAAAAGCAGGAAGCAAGCAGGAAGCAAGCAACCAGGGGTCCAGAACAAACAGCTCAGGGGTCATAGAAGTGAAGCAGTGCGCGCACATTCTTTAATCATCAGTGTGACACCGGTGCAAGGATGGGTGGACGGGCTGAACACGTGGGAAGGGGTCCTGCCACCATCTTGGACTCTGGAATCAGAAAGAAAAGCGTTGGTAAGAGTTCGGGAAAGGGCAGGTGGGAGACCAGAGGTACGAGAGAGTTTCGCAGGGCACGTGCTGGAGTTATCCGGAGCTGGGGTCCTGCCTGCAGCATCCCCGACCGCCTGCAGCGAGGGTGACATGGAGACAGAGGGGCTGTCGGGGAACACCCCCGGATGCCGGCGTTATGCCAATTATTTTGCTTTGCTGCAATGTTTTGATTTGATGTCGTAGTTGTTTGCTCCCCCTCGTGTGGTATGTGCATCAGTGCTTGCAATCTGTCTGCACAGCCTTCAAGCGGTGGCGCCGACTTTCCCGCGGCGAGATGTGTTCAGAGATACAAAAAAAGCTGCAGCAGGAGGATTCTCGGCCTTGCCACCTTCCTGGTGCATCGCACGGCCATGAAGGCTGGGGGGCGGCAAGCACTCGGAAGACCCGACACCCGGCTTTGTCCCAAAGTTCTACTTGTACCAGCCATGAATAGGACGTGTGGCTACAGCCCTGACAGTGCAGCTGTTCTGGCTCCAGAGACCCCCTGGCTTTCGTAGCTCGGCAGTATGTCCGAACGGGAGCGCTCAAGATCGGCGGAGCGGGGCCGCTCAGAAGGAAAAGCAGAGACTCCAAAGCTGCGATGTGGAGATGTACTCTTGGACTTCGATGTGCAGCGGCACATGGAATTCCGAAGAAGTAGGCAGCCAATTTTTGGGCTGCCCATGGGCACCTTGCCTTCCAATCCACAGCAAAACTCGCAGCTGGGAGCACCTTTCGCCTATGTCCCCGAGCAATTGCAGCGTTCGGGGGCCGATGCCGCATCTTTGCGGTCAGAAATCTTTGCGGACTTGAACTCCCGTGGATATTTTGTTGTTAGTGCTGTTCGCCATGGATTCGACTTTGTCATCTACGAAGGTGATCCTATCCGTCACCACGGTTCCTCCTTTGTGGTTGTCTTGGAGTCCTCTCAGAGCATCTGCCCCCGACAGCTTGTTTTGTGGCACAGGCTTGCAGCATCTGCACACAAGGCCCTGCTGCTGGCCCTGCGGACCTCCCGAAAAACGTGCGGCGAAGAGAGCTTGCGATATTTGAAGCTTTCCGGAGATGAACGTTGAGCAGGTGGCAAGGACAAAATCAAGCTGCCCGAGAACCGTGGACAGACATGGAGATCATCGAGGCCTCCTTCATTTCTGCTGTGTGCCGTGGAGGCCGTCATGCACGTCATTGATGATGCGGCAGTTGTTCCGCACGCAGCTGAGTCGGAGACGAGACAACGATATGGGGGTTCGTCGAAGCTGACTCCTAGCACTGGTCGCGCAGCAAATTCTGCCGAACATGTGTATCGTGACAGCGCATGGCCTCCGTGTCACAAGTCTGGCTCTGTGTTGGTTGATGAAGAATCCCTGGCCTGTGACGAAGATTTCTGCCTCAAAAACGCTTTGACTGACCCTCTTCCGATGTGGGATTGCTGGTTTGCTCGCGGATGCACGAAGACACAAGTTGAAGCATGCTTGTCAGATTGTCAGGCGGCAGCACCTCCGCAGGTGTGAAACTCAGCAACAGCAGAAGACCAGATACGGAACAGCATACTGTAATTGAGCTCCTGCCAGCTGCTTCTCGACTCGATGCTCAGTCCAGCGCTGCTGTGCGTGATGCTCGTCCCTCTTTGTTTTCGTCGAGATTTGTTCGGTATCCCAGCTGGATCCGACACCCGAAGATGGGATCAAATGCTGTAGCAAGGTCGGTTGACAAATAAAGATCCCAAGCGATGAACGACTTCTTGCTTCGGGACACCCTATTCTTCCCTTTAGTTGGAAATGGAACGGCAAGATGTTGATGCGGAGTCTAGGCCTAGCGTGAGGAACTTGGTGTTTGCGTGTCGCGCATAAGCGCAGGATATATCAAGGCGTGGTGATGCGCCGGCGAACTTGATTTCTGGCTCCTGGTTTGTGAAACCCGGATGCCGAACACCGGATGGGCCAGCAAAGTAGGTTGAAGCGGGAAGAAGCCACAGGCGATGAGCTTCCTAATCTGTCCGCTCCATTTCGTTCGGATTCGCTGATTCGCCTTGCAGAGTGAAGATACGGCCGCACCGGAGCGCGATCGTGAGCTAAGGAACACTGGGGCGAAGGCACATATGCTGCTGTCTGGCAAATCTGACAGAGAACTCCGTTCACGGAGAGGTGCGAGCTGCTTCGACACTCATTGGCCACAACTGCAGCTGGACATAGCTCCAGATTCGGAGCTTTCGTCAGCCCGGCAGGTTCCGGAGTTTGGCTATTAACATGCTACCTAGCTGCTAGCTCTGGCACACTGCCAGGCTTTGGCGACGGAGCGACTTCGAGCAGGCCTTTGGCCTGCTACACTGTTACACTGTGCATAGTCTGAGCCAACAGACAGCCCGTCGTTTAAAGTATTTTTCTGCCTTTCTCTTGCTGCGCAAGTGGCACTTGTTCCAGGTGTACTCTCCTTGCCTCTGTTGCCACGCTCGTTTCTCGTTCTCGCCCTCTCTCGCTCTGGCATTGGGCACTCGAGACCAGTTGCATGATTTGTACATAGGGCCTGTGATTCTAGCTTCTTCATGGGTTATGGGCTGCATGGGTCAGGCAACCGTTCCAGCTGGGCAGCCCGAGACGTACTCAGCGTGTTTCTCACGTCAGCACCAGGCCACCGCCTCCTTTTCGCACTCAGCAGCAACGTCTAACGGCGTATGACGAGAGACGACTCGACGAGGGGGAACAAAGGGTGCCCCCAGAGAGGTTGCCATCGTGCAGCTCAACATCCCGGAATACACGGGCAACCGCGAGAGGCTTCATCCCGGTGTAAGAAGCCATGTTTGATCTGGTGTGCTGTCCCTGTGGCACCTCAGTCGACAGCCATGATGATCCTTCAGCCTTCAAACCGAGACTTAAAGCAGGCCATGTGTTGAGGGGTTGCAGTGCTTTTGAGCACGGTGTGCAGTTCCTTCGGGCAGCTGCATGTGCAGCATAGTTTCGCAACAGCACTCGGACTAGGTCCGAGACTTGGAGAAGCTGGCCTCCTCACACCACAGAAGTTGAACCAATTGCTAGAACTTGTTTCGTCGTGTCCACTCACATGGCCGGTTCAAGGCTGCCAGCGACATGTTGACTCGCAGGCACCTGATGGAGAGGGAGATCCACGTACTAACCAAGTATGGCACTTGGGAGATCTTGCGATTCGATACATGCTGTGCACTCGTATCAACGGAAGAAATCCAAGGTTCCTGGATCACTTGGAGCGAAACATCGAGGAGGAGCAGTGGGAAGAGCTTGCCTCGGACTGTTCCTTGCGGTGAAGAGGGTTCTGCTTCCTGCTACTCACATTGGGACAAGATTTCTCATGGTCCGCCAGTTCAAGCCATGCAGCCTTTATCATCACACATGAGCTTGGATCCTTTGATGCGAGTCGTAGCCCTTGACCGGCAGCAATTGAGGCATTGGCCAAAGGTGTCGCGGTATGCATACCATGGCAATGTGTGCGAGATGAGGACTGGTGCTTGCAGTAGGATCGAGTGTGCGACGGGAAGGATGATCTTGAAAAGATAATCTGCGATTGGTCGTGGTGGTGGTGGTGCGGTGGCGAAAGTTGACATGGTGGTCGTGGTAGTTGTTGTTGGGGTGGTGATGATAGCGACAATACGTAGAAGCAAGCAAGAAATAGCTGTCGTAGTAGTGGCAGTAGTAGCAGTAGTAGCAGCAGCAGCAGCAGCAGCAGCAGCATATCCTCCTCCTCCTCCTGTTCCTCGTCGTCAGTGTAGCAGAAACACTGAGATCACATGCCAAAGATGAAGCTAGCAATAGC